CTTATTGCAAAAATTTATGGAATGTACGCTGATGGCTTCTGTACCTTTCACAGACTGACTGCAGTACTCGCTCACCATGAGGAACATAGAAATTTTATCTGTAGAAGCTGAAGAAAATTTTTACTATGCGATACTATGCATCAAATACGGTATTAGGAAACATCGGACTGCTCCCTGCACTGCAGTTTAGGATAGGAATAACTGATCATATCAAGGCGGATCTTTTTGATTCTGGCTTATCCTACTATATATAATTCGCTAAGTGTGTCTGTTGGTGTGTCGGTGTGTTTGTGTGTGTGTGTCGGTGTGTGTGTCTGGCCGGAAATTCATAGCTCCTGTCCCCGTGAACCTAGAGCGTCCAAACTTGGTAGGAGTACGGGGAGCAGGATGGGAACACTTATGATGGATAGCGAGACCGNATTCCGTGCACGGGGGGCGGAGCGTGCGCGATATAAATTTTGAGTCGCAAATTCATAACTCCTGTCTCCGTGGACCGAGAGCTTTCAAACTTGGTAGGGATACGGGGGACAGTATAGGAACATTTATTGCGGGTAGCAGGACCGGACTCCGTGCACAGGGGGCGATACGTGCCTGATAAAAATTTGGACCTTAAATTCATAACTCCTTTTTACGTGGACCTAAAGCGTTCGAATTTGACAGGATTACACTTTTCGTACTAACAGTGGAAACTCAGCACTTCAGTAAGTGAAGTGGGATATGATGGGATCGTAGGTACTCAGTGACAAGAACTGATCATAACCGATAAGAGAAGATAGGGGACCCAAGAGTGGCCTCCTACCGATCGAAAGCCTAACCTCTTCGGTATCTACGATGTAGCTTTGACCGTTCAGTATGCTTCATTCGATAAGACCGGATGGTAGAGCAGGGTGAAAAGAAGTGAGAAGATTTCTTACTATTATATTACGACGACCGCTACCCAGCAAGGTTTGTGATTCAATGAAGGATCTCTTTGATCGATATCACTTGATGTCATACTTAATCGACCGCCTGTCTGGAATCCTCAACTAATGATATCTCCGTAAAGAAAAGGGTCCATTAACAAAGAACGTCTGATAACGGTGTTATCATCACTCAGAACACCATCTTTGATTGTTTAGCATTTTTATTTCTTAAGGGCATTTATTTCTAGATAGGCAGCAAAAGTTCGAGACTTTCTATAAAAGTCTCGAACTTTTGCACAGCCGGCTTTAACTGAATATCATTCGCACTGCCCTGTTAGTCCTGTGTTAAATTTCGTGTACAGGAAACTGTTATTTGTTTCAGCAAAGGAGTGGGGAGTTAGGCTTACTATAACTTTATCGAAGATTTAGGGAAGCTCTCGATTCCTGTTGCGTCAGAGAAGGATTTTGAGCTCTGTTTCAGTTTCATAATCTCACTCGGCTAATCGGTGAAAAAACTCAAACTCAGCAAAACAGCGGAAAAAAACCTAAATCTATAAACTTAGAAAAAGGGAAAAATTCTTCAGTATAACATTTCTCAGGATAGGGTGTTTGACACGAGAAGAAGGAGAGCCTGGCATTAGCCGGGCGATCCGACTGGTATCTTATGAACCACTTCTGAAGCATACTGCTCTTACATTTGAACCGAATACATGACTCATGGAGCAAAAAGATGTAATCATCAAAGAGCACCTATTGACCAAACATGGCATAAAAATACGGAGCACCTAGAAGTGTAGACAGTGCATGAGAAAGTCTTACACTCTTCATTATTACCCTTTCCTTGAAGGTGAAATGAGGAGCAGTAGTTCAGTTCAACTAGCATGAAAATTCACGTCTGCCCTTTTTCAGACCTCTGATTATTTTTTTTACCGTGGTCTGAAATGTTCTTCAACCTGGTTGTAGATTTAAGAGATAGGCCCAGCACTTTTCGGTGACCGGCCATCCCACTACGGATTGTTGTGTTCCAGCCTGAGATCATTTCTCCACGTACTCCAACGATTTAGAAGGTAGATGTGATTTTGATCTTGGCAACATACACATACATACACTGACAAAAAAGACCCACGAAATTCTAGCCATATCCAATTTGAATAACGCAGCAGGTAAACATATATGGATATATGTTTACCTGCTGCGTTATTCAAATTTTTGAAAGGCCTAGTTCAAGTAATTAATTTGACATGAGCCATTTGGAGGTACTCTTCTGAGGTAAAAAAGTAAAAGTGTTGATATAGAGGAGTACATAGGTGGCGAAGAAAGCGAGAAAATGCCTACTTCTAGGCTTTTTAAAAGTAGTGGAAGAGGAGATCGTCTGACGATGATGGCATGCAAGGGGTGTAAGGACGAGATTTAACTCACTCCCATTGCTCAAAGAGATGACTACACCAAGCCGAAATACTCCGAAACTGCCTTTAACTGTCGCCATATGTTATGAAAAGTTGTTTGAACTTCCTACTCACTCGCGATAGTGAGAGATAGTGCAACCTCCACAAAGCTGTTGAAACTCGTCTACTATGGGTGCGGCATTCACACGGTACATTCTATGGCCCCTTATCGTGTTCTATCCAGAACGTTCTTCGGCTTTATAGCGGCAGGTATAGTACGAGGGGAAGCCTCGAATTCATATAATACTATAGGGAAATCTCAGGAACCATTTTTATCGTTAACTATGCCTTTAATAGAGAACAGGAGATAGTGTTCCACAGACTTCTGTTTTATCATCCTTTGAAATAACGAGGGAATTTGCAGGGAACCTGGGATCGATGACCGTACCGTCACAATTATTATCATAGCAGTCGTGGCGGTACTTGTAATACTCTGCGCAGTAGGCATCGTTATTGGTTTCATGATAGAGCGAAAACGTAGTAAAGAGAAGATGCGACTTTATAAAGAGATGATCAAGGATGAAAAACGTCACGAAAGAAAAAGGAAAATGAAAAAGAAGTCGGTGAGCTTGTTTTATCTATATTTCTGCTACATTGGATTGTCCTGGTAAATGTCTCTGAGCGAGGGTAGTCTTAGAAATGGAGAAAAAGAAAATGAGAAAAGTGATAAAATATAAAATTTTCAAAGACATACCCGAATAAAATCTCGCTTTTTGTCGCTCCACATTGCCATGACTTACGGTAGCTACTTCAGCTCTAATTAACGGTTTCCCTTTTCCTTCTTCAGTAGAGGGTTTTACTATAGCAGTAAGATGAGAGCATATAATTTCGCTATCTTGATCCGAGATTCCTTGAAGTCTACCCACCGTTTTTGGGAAATGGTAAACATAGTCGTCAAAAACAATCAAAGGAAACCTACACGAAACAGTGCTCGCGCATATTTTTGCAGCAGAATTCTTGAAGGCCGAGGCAAATTTCCAGGCTTCCTAATCGCGAGCGAGATCGAGAAATCTTGGAATTTCAGCCGAATCGGCTGATCCATCACGACTAAAGATTCATCCTGTATCAGTTCAAATGGCTTCTTTAGTGCAATTGGCCCACAAAAGAGCTGGTGAAAATCACTGCCTATGCAGACCGATAGCAGACAAGCCTTCACTTTTTCCTCCAGATCCCTATGCCCTCTGCCTCTGAATCCCGCAACCGCTGTTGCTATTGAATGTAGGATGCTTTCCAATCGCTATCAAAGTTGAACATGTCGGTGTGTGGACGGATCATCCTGGTTGATCAATCGGATGCAGCACCACTCAATCGCATCTACATCATCATTGCTAGACCCAGAAACAGATCGACTCGTTTCTCCTTTGTTGGATGAATACGATTATTCCAAACCTTTAATTCAACTTTCCATGCTTCGGCACTTTTCGTACTGATTCATGGAATTCTCGATCGCCATCAACAACTTAGTAGAAAAATTCGAACAATGAGACTCGCTCGTTCACGTTCACATGTAGTCGCACCCTGTGAAAAAAACTTTCGGATTACTGGTTCAGGTCCAAGGTAGCCATAGTAAACCTATTGTCGCTAACCATGGGAATTCTGGTATAGAACCGTTAATAGCCGATTTCTCATGTTGCCACCTGGAACATAAATCACCTAATTGAAGGCACTGTTCACGGTGAAGTTTGTTCTGAGTTTTGTTTTCGGGATCAAGATGTGGCCCCAACGATAGCACGTGAACACTGACGAGTTGAAAAACAGCCGCTATCGAATGGACGGCTCCGAAACTGGCTTGTCCAACATACACACCCCAAAGCGGCCTTGTTGAGGGGCTATATTCACGGACGCCAAAGAATAGTACGTTATGTGAGACTAAGACGACCATAGAAACATAACAATGCAGAATTTCTTTCTTCTTTCTTAGAAGCTTGCATTACTTGAAATGGGCCGATCTTCGCGCTTTCTTTGTCACTTTCGCACTGATCTGCATCATAACCTATTATTTCATCCCCTACATAGAATAGGTTAGAATCAACGTAGACTTACTTTTAAGAGGCTCCCTCTACCCAGTAAAGTGATTCTCTATAGGAGCGTTGGAGTATACTGTCTTCTCCGCCTATTTTCTTCGTTGGTGGATCTTGAATCTTGCAATAACTGTTTAGTCCCTCTTTATCGAGCTCAGCTGATCATTCGAAGCGAAATGAGTATTCCCGTATTGACGACCTTCAACTCGCAGGAGAAAAATAATCCTCTTTGAAATTAGAACTTCCATCGCGTGGAAAAAAGTCTTTTTCTCAATAATGTAGAATATGGCTATATGGCAGAACGTTCAAACTGTAAAAAGAAAGGCCAAAAATGCTTCTTTCTTCTCAAGTTGAAGATCCATCTTGACAGCCTGGAAATTCTTGGAAGTCAACCTCGATAGTTGAAAACTAATTATATTCCATAACTTCGGTTCTGAAGTGCTGCGCCACAAGCATGAAATAACTGAGGTCCAACTCCGAAAAATCCTGAGAGCAAAGCAGTCCTCTTGAGCATCTGAGGGTTTTTTCAATCATTACTATTAGAGCTAAAACAGTGCACTGAAAAATTAATCACACGCTGAGCAGGCTATCACCAACATTCAGTCGTGTACTCTTTGGGTTTTTTTCAGAAGATGAAAAAAAAGAAAAGGGCTGAGTTCGAACAGTCAATGAAAGTAATGAAAGCGCATCAAGAAGAGGGTGTATGTCCAATAACGTTTGTTCACCCTATAATCCTTTTGTGAAACCTGCATTACAGATTAAAAAGGTCTTGCAAGACTATCTAGCCGCCCAAACGCAGACGATGACGGTAGAAGACTCTGAGAGAAACGTGGAAATGCCATCAGGCAGAGGTCATGAGTCCAAAGGATCAAGCCCGAAGACATCCGGCGCCACACCAGCAGCCCCTACTCCACGAAATCTGGGTCAAGTGCCCATAGAAAGCGTACAGGAGGGAGCGGATAAGTAATTACTCTCTTCTGCAAGAGGGGAAGAAGAGCAATTTAAGCGATGTAGTTATGTATTTCAAGCAATTCATTAAACATTGTTTTATAAAGAGCGAAAATCAATTGCCTTATGACAATGCCTGCTGATTGTCAATAAAATTGAATAATTGGGTTACCTTGGTCGTTAAGGACTTCGTTTGCGATGAAAGTGAGTGGCTATCCTACCTAGTAGAACTTCCTCCTTGAATTTTAATGAAGTTCGAGCGTTTTTTATAATTTTAATACTACTCTGCCGTACAGGTTTGCTATGGCTGAACCGGTTTATTGATCGACATTTTGAACAAACCGTCGTCTTCAAGGACCTGAGATGAGTTCGATGCTGCTGACCTGTGACTTATACGACCGAGCACCCAAACTTAGGCTAGTTCCAATAACTCCCGCAACTCGAACGTTAAAAGATCCCAACGAAGTAGCCAACCTTCTGCTTTTCCAACAACGGAACGTCCCATTCGATAATGTGAACAACAAGTGACCAATGAATCACCATAAACGATCGTAAGTTGAGAATTATGCTGTGGTCTCAAAACTCACAAAATGGAATTAATGGCAAAAGTTGGTTGTTACGACGGAGCACTCAGTTTGGTAGTTCAGCTCCTGATTTCTTGCCCGGATACGTAACGCTTCCACTGTTAGAAAGGCACTGGAGACGTTACATCCATCTGCGCGGAAAATCTAAGGCTGAAGAGCCAAAATGAATGCTAGGCCATAGCAAACGAGTTCCTGCTATTCATTTACTTTTATGAGCTTTGAGATCACCGCACAATTCTTGTATTACGATCGCCAGTGGTGTCTCATCAGTTCGAATTTCCGGGAGTTGTTGCAACTATCCTAGCACGTTTAGGCACTGTTCGGACAAGTCACAAATTATGAGCTTGAAACTATTTTCAGGCTCTTGAAGACGACTTGTTCGAAACGTCGACCATAACACACCCGTACAGCAGAGCAGTATAGAAAGTGCTACGCTAGCTTGTGTGTTCGTTGTTTATATTATGAGTCTGATCGCCCGGCTAACGCCGGGCTCTCCTCCTTCTTGTGTTAAGGTTGATCCGCCGCCTACACTCTCCCAAGTTTAAAATCTCTGGTACGAGGAAATAGGAACTACTAATTTTCAGCAAAACACACACACCGTCACACTTCATGCTTTGGGTTCATTCCCTCTTACTCCAACTTGACTGCGTGTTTTCATTCAAAGTATGGTCACTTTATCACGCCCCATACATACCCCTGTGATTCCACGGGCTCGATCCAGTTAAGCTAGTTCTACTATGTACCTACTGTCGGTGTCTTAAGCCGCCTGCACTCCTTCCAAACTCGGAGGCACAACTGATAACAACTGATACTATTCGAAAAAAGTTTTTCACAACTTTTTTTTCTCACCTAAGACTGTGAGTGTCTATGAGCACAAGATTCAAATAATTTTGCCCATTTATTGTTCTGTATTTGACTTTGTTAATGCGTAACACATTCGATTTCCTTCCCTGGACTTCCTTTTCTTTTCTTCTTTCAATCTCTTCTTGATTCCTTCCGTCCACTTACAGACCTCGGAGAAAGGAAGAGTTGATAGGCTTTGCGGAGAGTAAGAACATTCCTTCTTATGAATAACGTGCTCGCATCTGTCTGTCTCATTGTCTATTTGTTTGTTTGTTGTCTGTTTGTTTGTTTGTGAAGCAATTCGATATGATCTGGAGAAGCATCCGTAGAGGTCTGGTCAATTTTGACATCGGTTGGGCATAGGGCAAGACCAACAGAGCGCAATTAGGCTCAGCGGAGCCCCGCCCACAGCAGTGGAGCATGCTTTTGTGTGGGCGGTGCTATGGGCAAAACATCCTTATTAGGTTTTATAAGAGCCCAGACCCAGGGGAAAATGAGGAGAGGTGAGGCATGTACCAACAAGTGAAATGAAGAGACTCACTGGCGGTGGGCAGTACGTCCCGCATCAGTTCATAACATGATTCAACTAAGGCATGGTTGCCAGAAAAAATTAAGCGGAGTGAGCAAGGCCTCATGCGTGCTGGACCATGGATTAACTTAGCTGGGCTCCGCCAAAGATTGGTGAGACATGCGTTCAGATGGCAGCTACTTTTTAAAAATATGTGTGACTCTGTTCAGACAAGTTCTAGAGCGCGGGAGAAAAGTTATAAAAGGAAAGGGGTCACATTTCTGAAGTGGGCAGGGTTTGTACCCAAATGGGCTGGCAGAATAAAAAACTCACAACTCCATCCAGAAAAGACCTATAACGCGGTAAAAGTTGAAGGGTATAGAGGGGATGTGGAGAAATCCTCATAGTAGACGGGCTTGCACTGAATCGGGCGAGACTAACATCGCAGCCTTGCCCATTATGCTGGCCTGCTGTTCTACAGGGGGAGGAGGAGGGGGGGG